AAATGTAGTAGGATAATACCTTGGCAATCATAGGATATTCAAGACTTCATGGGGCTTGTCTAAAATAGTGGTTCTCAACCAGAGGTTCACAGAGTACCTGTGGAGATGTTTTATTCCCCTTTTTTGGAGAGGTTTTTGCTATAGGGCACGTGCACTTGCCAAAAAGACAGAGAGAGAAAGAGAGACAGAAAGCAAGAAATCACCCCCCAGGGGGGAAGGCCACGCCGCAATCCCTTCTCCTCCATTCTCCTCATGGGATCTTAGGCACGTGTGCACACGCGCCTGGTGTGAGTATAAGCCACCAGGTCCAGGACTCGAACTGCTGTTGACTACATGGGAGTTCAGCAATATAGCCATTACGCTAACTGCTGGCCCCCTGTGGAGATTTTTAAGAATCCATAAGCAGGCTAGCTGGTGGTGTGGCAGTTAGGGTAGCTGGATCCCACATGCTCAAATGCATGATTTGAGTCCTGGACCCAGCAGCATGAAAGACACGCCAGGTGTATATGTGTGTGCCCATAATCCTGAAAAGAGAAATGGAAGAGAAGGGATTGTAGTGTCACCATTCTTTTTTTTTGGAGAGGTTTTTGCTATAGGGCACATGCGCTCTCCAGACAGACAGAGAGAGACAGAGAGACAGAAAGCGGGAAATCATCCCCCAGGGGGGATGGTCACGCCGCAATCCCTTCTCCTCCATTCTCCTCTCAGGATCTTGGGCACGCACGCACACGCGCCCGGCGTGAGTTTTAAGCCACCAGGTCCGGGACGCGAACTGTGGTTGACTACGTGGGAGTCCAGCGACATAGCCATTACGCTAACTGCTGGTTCCCACTGTCACCATTCTTCATGGGGTGGAGGGTGTACTTTCTCACTTTTCCTCTCTCTATGTCTCTTTCCAGCAAGTGCACACACCCTCTAGCAAATTAAAAAAAAAAAGCAAAATACAGATGTTGGAGCCCTACCTCAGGCTTACTGCATTAAAATTTTCTGTAATGGGATCTGGGTATGTGGACTTTTTTTTTCCCAAGAATTATTTATTTAGTTTTGGAGCCAGCAGGTGGCACAGTGGTTAAGGGACTCCAACATGGCCAACCACAGTTTGAGTCCTGGACCTGGTGGCTTGCTTTCTCACTTTCTCTCTCTCTCTCTGTCCCTCTCAGAGAGAGAGAGAGAGAGAGAGAGAGAAAGTGAGAAAGCAAGCTGCCAAGTCTGGAACTTGATGTCATGTGAGAGTCCACTACCCTTAAACACCACACCACCTGCCAGCCCCAATGCCACCTGTTGGCCCCTATTATTATTATTATTAATTTTTTTTTTCTATAGGGCACATGTGCTCACCAGAGAGACAGAAAGAGTGAGAGGGAGAAAGAGAGAAAGCAAGCTGTCAGGTCTGGGACTCAAGCAATCAGTTGGCCATGTGGGAATTCAGTTCCTTAATCACCATGCCACCTGCTGGCCCCAGCATTTGGGTTTTTAAAAAAGCTTTCCTTGGGCCAGGCAGTGTCACAGCAGTGGTACTACTGGATAGACATAGCAAAGGTCCTGGGTTTGTGTTTTGGGACATCTCTGAGCATGCTGGGCACATGCAGCCATGCCCATGATTAGAGCTAGCTGGGGCTTGGGGTGGATAGTGGCATAAGAATCCTGCTGGGGATTGCCCCCTCTCTGTCTTTGTCTCTCTCATGAAAGAAATAAATGAATAGCTTTTAAAAAGAGAGAAAAATATGAAAAGTTTTCCCTAGAGTCTGATATGCACTGCTAGTTCAAACCTATTGTTCTAATGCAAAATTGTTGATGGTGGCCCAATAAAAATGCAGCGTCAATTCAAGTCCCAGACCTGGAGGCTTGCTTGCTCTTGCTCTCTCTCTCTCTCTCTCTCTCTCTCTCTCTTATTCATTGTCTCTTTCTGGTGAGCACACATGTCCTATAGCAAATTAAGATAATAATAATATATGAAATTAAATGATTTTTTAAAAGAATTATTTTATTTTATTTATTCATTCATTTATTTCTTAATTTGACCAGAGGGAGACACAGAGAGAGAGAGAAAGTGAGAAAGCAAGCCACCAGGCCCAGGACTTGACCCGTGATCAGCCATGTGGGAGTGTCCAGCACCTTAACCACCACACCACCTGCTAGTTCCCCAAAATTAAATGATTTTTTTTAAAGAAATAAAATCTGGGCCAGCCCTGGCATAGAGGTTAAGGTGGCTGCATCCTACATGTGTAAATGTGTGGTTCAAGTACTGGACCAAGCAGTTTGAAAAACACAGAAAACACAGTGGGCACTTGGGTACTTGTGTGTACATGCCTAAAAATCTCAAAAAGAAGGAGAAATGGAGAAGGGATTGTGGCATAACCATTCTCCTTGACGGTGTTTTCTCACTCTCTCTCTCTTTGGTGAGTGCACATATCCTATAGCAAACCTAAAAAAAGGGTTTTTTTAGAGTTTTTTGCTATAGGGTGTGTGCGCTCTCCAGAAAGACCGAGAGGGACAGAGACAGAAAGCAAGAAATCACCCCCCGGGAGGATGGCCACGCCGCAATCTCTTCTCCTCCATTCTCCTCTCAGGATCTTGGGTACACACGCACACATGCCTCGAACCACAGTAGACTACATTGGGAGTCCAGCGACATAGCCATTACGCCAACTGCTGGTCCCAATATCTTCTGTTTTATGGGATTTGGTACAGGAGGAAGGATAATATAGTGTACATTTAGATACAATTCTTCCATCAGCTATTAATTTTTGTAATTTACTTCTCAAGTTCTTGAAATAATTCAGTATTATTTACAATCATGAAAATATGGTGTCCTAAGTGTAAAGGATCTCAAATTTCAGTAGCTCTTTTAGTTATGCAATGTAGGCTGAGAAATAGTCATTATTCTGGTATTAGGGTAAGCTTTTGTGGATTATTTAAGGTGGCAATTAGATCCTGGTATACCATCTTATTTCCTAAGAAGCAGCTGGATAAATTTACATAAGGAGGCTGGGGTTTTCTGGGCTAGAAGAATTGATAGTCAACTAGTACTCCCTGAGATAGGAAGTTAGAAAGACCTCGGGCTGTTAACTAAGTGGCCTTGGTCCCAGGGACAAGAAAGTAAGGTATCTGAAATAATAATTTCAGTAAAGTGGGAGTTTGGGCTGATGCCCTCAAGGATTGATTTCAGCTCAGTAGGTAGTTGATGATGGAAGCAGCTCTGGTATCTGTTATGCAATGTTTCAGAATTAGCAGCATTACTTATGTGCATAATCAATTTCCTGCTACCAAGAGGCAGCAAGAAGCAAAGAATGTAACTGATTAATTAAACACCTACACTGGCCTTAGTGGGGTGAGGAAGCGAGACAGACTTCTCTGAACACGTTAAAACGTAAAGTAACCAGACTGATGATGATTGGCTTCAGGGGTCATGGGATTTTCGACAATTTGGGGTCATCCCTCCTGTGTTATTTTAAATTTTATATACATTTTCAACTATGAAAATGTTTTATCTTTGTGAATTTTTTTTAAATGAAAGCTGACCAGAGAAATTACAAGGAATAATAATATTAGCAGCTATGTGCAGAAAAGGACATGTTTTGTGTGTGCATTATCTGATTTAATTCTTGCAACTCTATGTGATTATTACCCTGTTTTGCAATGTGGAACAAATTGAAGTTTGAAGATTTCAAGTAAATTGCCCTTAATCACAGGGTTAATAAGTGGTAGGGACAGGAGTAAAGCCCAAGTTCCCTTGCTGAAGAGCTAGAGTGTCTCTAGTTTGACCTCTACAGGAACTATTAAAGATCTCTCTTTGTAGTCAACAGAAATTTATCAGTATCATTTTTTTTTTAATTATTTAACTTTATTTATTTATTTTAATTTGACCAGGGAGGGACAGAGTGAGAGAGAGAGAAAGAAAGCAAGCTGCCAGGTCCAGGACTTGAACTGTGATCAGCCATGTGGGAGTCCAACGCCCTTAAACACCACGCCACCTGCTGGCCCCAAAATTTACCAATATCTTTACAATCTTTTTCAACCCCACATCACACTTTAAAAAAAAAAAAAAGAATTATCTTATTTTTAAAAATTTGACCAGAGAAGAACACAGTGAGAGAAAGAGAAAGTAAGAAGGCAAGCTGCCAGGTCTGGGACTCAAACTGAGGTCAGCTATGTGGTAGTCCAGTGCCCTTAACCAGCACCCCACCTACTGTACGCAGGTATTTTCAAGACTGTTTTCTCTTTCACTCTTTAAGAAGCGAGTATTAAATACTGTAACAATAATCAGCCCCAAAGTCACTACCGGCTAAAGACTGAAGATTCTTGTGACATGTTACATTATGGCCCCACTGAACCAAGCCTTTCAATATTGCAAAGTATCCTGGCATAGTTCCCTTCTCCTTGAATCTAGACTGGCCCCTTGACTTGCTTTCCTCAACACCGGATAGCAAAAATGCCAGTTCTGGACCTAAGCCTTAAGAAGTCCTAGCTGCTTTCACTTCTGCCCTTTTGGGAGCCTGAAGGCAACATGTAGGCAAGTCTGGCTACTCTGGTGAAGTTACCTAGAAATGCCACAGGGAGAGGCCCAGCTGTTTCAGGTGAATCGGCTCCTGGTGGCCGCTATGACCACTGGCAAGGCCAGCAGAACCACTAGGTTAATCACAGCCCAGATTGCAGAACTGTGAGCAAATAAAATACTGTTTAAGTCATACGTTTGAGTGGCTCATGACACAACAGATCATGAAAACACCCCGGCTTTCTTTGGGCCATCACTGGTACACTCAGTTCTGCACAAAGCACAACTCTTCTTCACTTCCTGCTGTCTCCCAATATTCTGACAACCGTCTGCCAGAAGCTTTCACGTTCATTCCTAGAATCTAGGAAAGCCTTGTTTGTTTTTTGGTGGAGAGGCACTAGGTCCAGAGGCTGACTTTAGCCTCAGCTTGTCACTAGTAGTATGCCTTTTGAGTCACTGACCTTTCTCGTTGTAAAATGGGGAGACTAATGCGCATTCTACTTACCCCCGGTAAAGATGAATAGAACGCATTAACAGCTTCCAGCTCAAGAGGCAGGTGAGGAAATACAAAGAACGTGGCACGCAAGATCTTGAACAAGTGACTTGTTATCTCTGACCCTCGGTTCTTTCTCAGCGAACGAGACCACTCTTTCTCACCTCACAGGTTTATCTATGACGAGACACCTCAAGAGGTGAGACCTGTTGCACAATAAACAGTGATTGTCCTCCATCAAACCCCAAATTTCCTTCCCTCCTCTTCATATTCCCGGCCAAGCCCCCAGAGAGTGTGATTTAGTAAGTCCAAAGGGGAGTCCAGAAAAACACTTAAAAAAAAAAAAAGTTTCCCAGTAGATTCTAATGCACGTTCCCCTCCCGCCTCACTGCGAAAGACTCGGTTTGCTAGCACGCCCCAGCTTTCTGTCAGAAGGAGCGGCAAACTCCAGGTCTCGCGACAGTTTTTCCTCTGTTTTCACGATCGGCTATAAGTCGCGCGAGATTGATTGGTCCAATCACGAGGCTAGATTGCTTCACAAGATGGCGGCGCGCTGAGAGCGTAACATCTGCGTTTCTAGGAGCTTCGCGCTGCGGGTGGTTTAAGAATCTGGAGTCGTGGAGGCCCGCGCCGGATACGTGGTCTGGCAGGAACGTCGGTCTCAGAGGTGGGTTTCTTAGCATTTCTCGTGCGGGTTGCCCGTGCCTCTTAGTCTATGGATCACCTGGGTCCTCATTCCCGGGTTTTGGACTCGTGAGGTGTTGACTTCGGGGTCGCTGATGCGGGTTTGTGGGTGGGTGTGTGGGAGGAGTTGGTGAATAGAATGGAGTCTGGGATTGAAGTAGGAGAGACCTCGGGGTGAGGAGGCTTAGAGAAATCCTAAACTGGGGCGGAAAGACAAAATGGGTGGATATAATCGGGACGTGGGAGGAGTGGAAGAGACAGAACTGGTAGTGGCGGGACTAGTGGGAAAAGTCGGCTTTCTGAGAGAAAGCGAGCTGATAGGAGTTTAGTGGGAGGGACCTCTGTGCAGAAGGAATTTAAAGTTGTGAAAGCGGAATTTCGACTATTTGCAGGCTTATGTATTTAAGAGAAGTGGGAATTACAGAGGGTTAGGTTAGAAGGAATCGAGGAAAAAGAAGCATAGAGATGAAAAAAAAAAATCATAGAAAGTGGAAGCATCAGCCTCAAGGGTTTATTATTTTAGGTGTCTGGACTGACTCAACAAGTAACCCGGAAGAAAAAGTTCCAGGCTTGGGGCGGAACTTTTTTTTTTTTTTTTTGAGAATTAGTGTGGGGACTGCTTATTCAGAATGAAAGACTGTGTTTCAATGGCCTTGATGATGAAGATCATTGCCCTCAAGCAACATGGGATGTATTTTTGAATACCTCCTTTCCCAGGCCTTATTTTAGGCTTGGGGAGTGAACAAAACAGAATATTTTCCCTCAACAGATTATTTGCCTTCATGAAGCTTACGTGCAGGTCCAATTTTATTTTATCTTATTTTACTTTTTGTTGTTAAAAGAATTGTTTTATTTAACTTTATTTATGTGTTTTAATTTGACCAGAAAGGGATAGAGCAAGAGAGAGAGGGAAAATGAGAAAGCAAGCCGCCAGGTCCAGGATTTGAACCCTGGTCGGCCATGTGGGAGTCCAGTGCCCTTAACCACTATGCTATCTGCTGGCCTCTCAATTTTATAACAATAACTAAATATATGGAATATCAGATAGGTAAGTTGTATGTGGAAAACTGGAGTTAGGGAGACAAGGAGTATGTTCGCTTACTGCATATTGAAATGAGGTGCTCAGGAAAGGCATCATTGAGAAGGTGATTTTTGTCATTTGACTTAAGGTGTGAGTACTTTGTATGTATTTGTTTTGGGGAAGAGAGTGGTACATGCAGAATGAACAGCAGACTTCACAGAAAAATACCAAGGAAGCCAATGTGGCTAGGGCAGAATGAAGGTGGGAGAGTAGGAGTTTCACAGAAAAGTGGGGAGTGACAATGTTGATGTTGGGTAGGAGTCAATACACAGTTAAAATCCGAAGAATGGGATGTATTTAGCTAAGAATCCATTGCCTGGATTAGGAGGTTAGCAAAGAAATGGCTTTATTGATTCATTTCATGTCTGTTCTGGTCAGAAAGTTTGAGTAGTAGAAATGAACTGAATTTTCCATATCCATAATTTAATTTGTTTCACGTATGTTCAGGGTCATGTCAGGTGTGCATTGGTATCAGCCATGTAATGTTCAGAAGCTCCCTTAATTTTTTTCAGAGCCCTAACATACCCATGTCTTGAAATTAGTGTTATGTGCCTTTCTGTTTTGTTGCTTGCCAGAGAAGAGAGGAGAGCATTTTCTTAGGGCTTGGAACTTGCCCTCATCTTACATGTTCGTTCCTCTTTTATTTATTTTTTTTAAAGAATTATTTTGTTTTAACTTTATTATTATTATCATTATTATTTTCCAGTTTGATCAGAGAGAGAGGAAGTGAGAAAGCAAGCCACCAGGTCCGAGACTTGAACCGTGGTCGGCCATGTGGGAGTCCAGCGCCTTTAACCACCATGCCACTTGCTGCCCCCATTCCTCTTTTCTAATGATATGTTAATATTAAGAAATTAGAGCTAGTTACATCGTTAGACTCCCACGTAGTCAACCAGGATTCAAGTCCTGGACCCCATGACTTAAAACAGTGCTGGGCACATGTGCGTGTATGTCCAAAATTCTGTGAGAATCAAGAAGGGACTGTGACACTGCCATCCCTCCGAGGGGGTGATTTCTTGCTTTATGTCTCTCTGGTGAGTGCTTGCACTGTATAGCAAAAATCTCTCAGAAATTAATTAATTTAATTTAATTAAATAAAAAGAAATTAAAACTAGTATGTAGTTGAATTTCTGTGATAATTTTAGGGGCAAAAGGTGGTAACTTACTGTGCTGAAATGACAAGTAATTTCCCTAAACTCTGAATTGTTCAGTTACTCAACAAATGCAGTCATATGTTGCCTTATAGTGAGGTTATTTTCTAAGAAATATATTGTTAGGTGACTTTGTCATTGTGTGAACATCATAGAGTGAACAGTGCTTACACAAGTCTAGATCATATAGCCACTACACACTCAGGGTATATGGTATATAGACTATTGTTCCTGGGCTGCAAACCTGTACAACATGTTACTATGTTGAATACTAGAGGCAATTGTAGCACAGTGGTCAGTATTTATGTATCTAAACATAGAAAAAGTACAGTGAAAATACAGGATAAAAGAAGATGGTACATCTACATAGAGAACCTGAAATGAATGGAACTTACAGGAATGGAAATTGCTATGGGTGAGTGAGTCCGTGAGTGAGGGGTTAGTGAATATGCAACCCTAGGTCATTGCTGTGTACTACTGTGGACTTCATAAATATTGTATACATAGGCTTCACAGAATTTATTCTTTAGTAATAAATTTTAGCATACTGTAACTTATTTATAAAGTTAATTTTTAAAAAATTTTGAGTCTTTTGTAGTGGCAATTTAAAATACATATTGTATAAAACTACTCTCTCTGTATATTCTTAGTCTATAAGCTTTTTTTGGAGAGGTTTTTGCTATAGGGCATGTGTGCTCGCCAGAAAGACAGAAAGCGAGAAATCACCATCCCTGGTGGTGGTGGGGGGGTGGCCACACTGCAATCCCTTCTCCATTCTTCTCTTGGAATCTTGGGCACGTGCGCACATACTTGCCCTGCGTAAGTTTAAGCCACTGGGTCCTGCACTCAAGCTGTGGTCAACTATATGGGAGCACAGCGACATAGCCATTATGCCAACTGCTGGTCCCTAATGTGTACTTTTTGAACTTTTTTTTTTTCTTAATGAAAACACAAGCTGGCCTTGTAACCTAGTGGTTAAGGGAGCCAGATCTCACATGATTGGGTCTGATTTGAATCCTAGCCCTGGTAGCTTGAAAAACACACTGGATGGGAACCAGCAGTTAGCGTAATGGCTATGTCGCTGGACTCCCACGTAGTCGACCGCGGTTCGTGTCCCGGACCCGGTGGCTTAAAACTCACGCCGGGCGCGGGTGCATGCGTGCCCAAGATCCCGAGAGGAGAATGGAGGAGAAGGGATTGCGGCGTGCCCATCCCCCCTGGGGGGTGATTTCTCGCGTTCTGTCTCTATGTCTCTCTCTGTCTGGCGAGCGCACGCGCCCTACAGTGAAAAATCTCTTAAAAAAAAAACAACAACCACAACAAAAAAACACTGGATCAGGCCGGCCGGTGTGGTTAAGGTGCTGGATTCTCACATGGCAACAAAGGTTCAAGTTCAGGATCTGGAGGTTTGAAAATCACACCAGGTACATGTGTATGCATGACCAAAATCTTGGGAGGAGAATGGAGGAGAAGACTGTGGCATGACCATCCCCTCTGCGGGACGGGTAATTTCTCACTTTCCTTCTCACTGTCTGTCTGTCTTTCTTCAGCGAGCTCACACACCCTCTGGCAAAAAAACTTAGGAAAAAAGAAAAACACTGGGGGTGTGTGTGTGTGCCACAAATCCTCACAAGATGGAAAAATGGAAGAGGAGCGATTGCAGTATGATCATGTCCCATCGGAGGCTCTCTTTCTGTGTCTTTCTTTCTTCCCAGGTAGTGTGTGTGCCTTTGGCAATTAAAAAATCAAAACCTAACACAAACACACTGGTTAGTGCAACATGTTGCTTGTGTATTTGTGGTGATGCTGGTGTAAATAAACCCACTGCCATTACCTATATAAAAGTATAGAATGTATAATTACATGCAGTACAGTAAGAATAGCAGATGGCAGGACAGACCACTATGCAGTAGACAAATGAAAGAGGACAAGGTTGTCTGGAGCATAGTGCAAGAAAAGAATAGGGACAACAAAGGAGGTTTAAGGGAGAGGCATGCTTCATTAATGATTTCAGACTGTGTTAGCATGTTTAAATTCGTATTGAAAGAGAGAAGACTTGTATGAATGGATTTCAGGGGACTAGAGTGGTTACTGAGAGGGACTGGCAGGTGGTGTGGTGGCTAAGGGTACTGGACTCCCCCATGGCTGACCGTGGTTCAAGTCCTGGACCTGGTGGCTTGCTTTCTCATTTTCTCTCTCTCTCTCCCCTCCCCCCCATCCGTGTCTGGTCAAATTGGAATGGATGAACAAATAAATAACGTTAAATAAAAAACAATTAAAAAAAAAAAAAAGAGTGGTTACTGAGAGATCTGTTACAAACTTTTACAGTGATCTAAGACAGATGATAATGATCTGGCTCAGAGAGGTAGAATTGTAAAGGGTGAAAATTTGGTTACAATTAAATAATTAGGAGATATGGGGCCAGCAGATGGCATGGTGGTTATGAGCGCTAGACTTCCACATGGCCAACCACAGTTGGAGTCCCTGACCTGGAGACTTGCTTTCTCTCTCTCACTCTGTCCCTTTATGATCAAATTTTAAAAATAAATAAATAAAGTTAAATAAAAATATTATTTAAAAAAAAAGAAATAATTAGGAGATAGAGATTATTCAGGTTATGATATGTGTTTAGAATGGAGGAGACAGGGTGGAGAAGAAGCTAAAGATTTTGGGCCTGTACATCTCAAGAAAGACAGTGAGATAGTTGAACCATTCGATGAGATAGGGAAGATTAGGAGAGGACCAGTTTGG